CAGGCTCCGTGAAGAAGGTCAATGAATCGACACAAAATTGGCACCAGGTGAGCCCAGACTCTTAACTCTTTCAACCCCTCGCCACAGCCCCTCAGCACCACCCTCTGCCCCGCCCCTATCTTGACTGCCCCCTGCCTCTCCAGCTGGAGAACATAGGCAACTTCATCAAAGCCATCACCAAGTACGGGGTGAGGCCCCACGACATCTTTGAGGCCAATGACCTGTTCGAGAACACCAACTACACCCAGGTGCAGTCCACCCTCCTGGCCCTGGCCAGCATGGTGAGTGTGGCTCCAAGGTGGGCATGGGCCGGAGGGGCTGTGGGCGGTCTGGGCTGGAATTCAGGTGGGGCCACTCACGTCCCTGAGCCCAGCGTGGGTGGGAGGGGACCGTGCAGCCCGAGGCCCCCTCCTCAGTCCCTGCCCCCCTCCCTCCCTTCCCCAGGCCAAGACGAAAGGGAACAAGGTGAATGTGGGTGTGAAGTATGCGGAGAAGCAGGAGCGGAAGTTTGAGCCGGAGAAGCTCAGAGAGGGGCGGAACATCATTGGGCTGCAGGTACTGCCCTCCCCACCTGAGGCTCACTGCCCGGCTGGAGGTGGAGGTGGAGGTGGAGGCGGGACGGCGTCCTGGTCCCTGCGGGCTTTGGGGACAGCAAGCGTATTTGGCCTTGATGCTCTAACTCCGCACCTGACCCACTCCCGCAGCAGCGCTAGAAGGCAGGCTGTTACCTCAGACCATTTCTATGGAAACAGGCCTGGAGAAGCTGGCCCAGCCGTCAGGCTCTCCCAGGTGACGAGCGGCCACGCTGGGACTTGAAGCTTTCAGTCAGGCCTGGGTGCTCTGAGCCACTCACTGAGCTGTGACACTTTCTCTGGGCCTCGGCTTCCGGTCTGTAGCCTGAGTGGAAACAGTGCCTTGTTAGAGGCCTGTGAGTGTCCACGGGCACCGGCACCTCTGTGGTCCGTGGTGAGGCTCTGTAACCTTGAAGTGCCTCTCCTTCTGGATCCTTAGATGGGCACCAACAAGTTTGCCAGCCAGCAGGGCATGACGGCCTATGGTACCCGGCGCCACCTCTACGACCCCAAGCTGGGCACGGACCAACCCCTGGACCAGGCCACCATCAGCCTGCAGATGGGCACCAACAAGGGAGCCAGCCAGGCCGGCATGACGGCTCCGGGGACCAAGCGGCAGATCTTCGAGCCGGGGCTGGGCATGGAGCACTGCGACAGTCTTAACGTCAGCCTGCAGATGGGCAGCAATAAGGGGGCCTCGCAGCGGGGCATGACGGTGTATGGGCTGCCGCGCCAGGTTTATGACCCCAAGTACTGCCTGACGACCGATTACCCGGAACTGGGCGAGCCTGCCCAGAACCACCACCCACACAACTACTACAATTCTGCCTAGGGCCCTGGGCCTCCCGCCTCCCCGCCCCAGGGAGGCTGGCTGCTGCTCAGCAGGGCCTAGCCCGGCCCCGCTAACCCCTGCCCCCTGCATGGCGCCCTCCAGCCCCTGGCACCTGCCTACAGGGTTAGCATTGGGGGGAGGAGCAGACTGGGGGGTCTGTGGGGGGGGCTCTCCTCCCTGAAGCACTGCAGGGTCCAACATCGAGCCAGGTGTTCCCAACAGCATCCAAAGGACGCACTGAGCAAAGCTACCCCAGCTGCCCCCTACTCCCTCACAGGTGGGTTCCCCCCAGGACAAGAAGCCCCCCAAGCAAAGCCCCCCGAGCCCAGGCTCAGCCTGCCCCCACCCCATTCCCACAATGGGAGCCAACTGCATGCCCAGAGACCCAGCGGACACACGCGGTTTGGTTTGCAGCGACTGGCGTATGTGGATGTGACAGCGGTGTTTGTAATGCGAGCACTTTCTTTTTCTATTTCACTGGAGCACAATAAATGGCTATAAAATCATCTGAAGACTCAGGTTGCTCTGTCCTGGAGCCTGTATGGCTCTTGCATATGCACAAACAGCCTTGCTCAGATACCCTGCATTGACCAAACACACTTCTGCACAGGCACACATATTCCCACACACTCTATACACACAGGCTCACAGCCACTCGGCTGGACCCAGGACACACGGACATGTACTCTCACACACACCTCTTGGTGGGTATGGTGTGCACACGCTTGCTGCAGCCTTAGAGGCACCTACAGATACACATGCAGTACACACTCCCATATAAAAAGACACGTCACAATGCACCCTCTCACATATGCACACAATACCCACACACACATGCTCAGTACCCATGTACTTTGCCAGGGGGCCTGTGAGTTGTGAGGAAAAACCCAAGTGCTGGGATGGGCTAGACGGAACAGGTGACCTTGGGCAAGTCACTTCCCCTCCTCAGGTCTGTTTTTCCATCAGGAAAATGGGGACAGCAAGGCTCATGGGGAAGCTTAAATGACTACACCAAATAGGATGTTTGGCACCGACCAATGGACAAGCTGGGTCCTGGAGGCCCCTGTGGGCAGGGGGACCCCGTTAGTCCTGGATTGCAATGTGTGGAGGGTGAGAGGGAACAGGGCAGTGGGCGAGGATGGGCATTTTGTGGGCCCAGGGAAATGGCCCTTTACTGACTGGCAGAGCAGTTGAGCAGCTGACTGAGGGCATGGCTGTCTTCTGCGCCAGGCTCACTCTGCCCTCTTCTTACGGCTGATCCCCCAGTCTCGCCTGCCATTCCAGGACCCGAGAAGTCTGTGGCCAGGCCGCCAACCTTCCTGTTTCAGAGGGGATCCTGTTCTGTGATGTCGGCCCCAGTCATCCCTCTTGCAAACCACCAACTGTCAGGGTTCCAAGGAGAGGACGCAGCCATGCAGGGGTCACAGCGCAGCCTTCTCTCCTCCCCTCCCCAGGGCAGGGGATGAGGCTGGAACGTGGGGGATCTGCAGACAGACATCAGAAGACCTACATGCAGATGATTTAGCCCTCGGGGCCTTGTAAACTGGATTCCAGGCACTCTTGGCCTGGCTACTGTGAGTCCTGCTCCCCGAGGGCCAGCTCTAGAAGCTACGCTGAGGATCCACGCCTGGCTCTGGGCCCTGCCTCCTGTGGAAAACAGCACCATATTAGCACTTGGTCTGTGAGACTGGGGTGGGCGGGCCCTGGATGCCAGAGGACTGAGCCCCCCTTCCCTGGACCCCAGAGGCAATCCCACCCAGGCCCGTCCACCACTTGGCCCATGACCGTCTCCTGTCTGGACCAAACCTTTCCTGGGGCCTTGGCGGGGAGCACCAGGAAGGAGCATCTCAGGGCAGGGTGGACTTCAGGGGGCACATGCCAGATCCAGTAGCTGGGCCTGAGTGGTCAGGGCTTCCTGCCAGCTCAGCATTTGACTGTTCACATCCCTCAACATCCAGGGTGGACTCTAGTCACTCAAACCAAACGAGGCACCTCCATCCACAGTGTGGCCCCTGGAGGAAAGCTCCATCATCCTTCCCATTGCACCAATGAGGAATCCTGCAGCTCAGGCTCAGGAGGCAGAGCTGGACCTGCCGCAGGCTACTGAGTCAGGACCTTCACAACCAGGAGGCCACCCGAGGGCACTGTGCAGTGCCCAGGTGCTCACCCTCAGTCATGCTAAGATGTGTGCTTTTCCCAACACTACCAAGCAAGGAACTCCGTTCCGACACTACCTGGAGATAGTATCAGATCCCATAGAATAAGGGCTTGGTCCTACAAGCTGGTCCTCCCCCACTTCAGCTGCCAATTGCAAGTCCAGGTGCTTGTGACCAACTGGCTATAGATCGTTCAGTCCTCAGAGAAACAGGTCATTTACAGGTTTATTATAAAAGGGCATAAGCCAGGAACAGCCTGATGGAAGAGCTGCACAGGGCAAGGCTGGGGAAGGAGAGAGGAGCTGCCCTGTGCTCCATGCCCGGCACCTCCCCAGTTCACCAACCTGGAAGCTCATCAAACCTTTTTATTTAAATTGAATTTATTGGTTGATAAAATTACATAGGTTTCCCCATAGCCAGTTTGGCTCAGTGGACGGAGCATTGGCCTGTGGACTGAAGGGTCCCAGGTTCAATTCCGGTCAAGGGCACATTCCTGGGTTATGGGCTTAGTCCAAAGTGCAGGAAGAAGCCAATCAATGATTCCCTCTCATCATCCATGTATCTCTCTCTCTTCCTCTCTGAAATCAATAAAAATATATTTTAAAAAATTATATAGGTTTCAACTGTTCACCAAATCTTATTGAAGATTTAGAGAGCTTAACCTGTAATCTCTCCCTGACCCTTCCCAGAGGTGGCTGGGAGTTCCCCTCAGTAATCACCTGGTCTTTCTGGTGACCAGCCCCATCCTGGGTGATCACACTGGAAATTCCAAGAGTTTTAGTAGCTCTGAGTCATGAATAGGGACAAAGATCAAAACATACTGGACTACACCGTGCATCTGGCTGGTACCTCCAGCCTTCGAGACTCCTCACCAGCCTGGGACAAGGCTCCCTTTAGGACCCTTACTCTTCTCCAGAGCTCCCCAGCCCCACAAAACCAAGAGCTGTCCTCTCAGCCTGCACTCTGGGTGGTGAAGCCAGGTGTCTTGCGTTTAAGGACCAGCTGTGCTGCTTTCTGGCTGTGGGACCTTGGGCCAGTGACCTCCCATCTCTGGCCTGTTTCCTCACCTGCAAGCCTGGGGCACCTGCCTCACGGGTGGCTGTTGGGACAAGGGGGTAAGGCAGGCAAGCCTGAGAGAAGCCACTGCAAAGGGTGGCTCTTGAGAGTTACCTCCATCAGCCAAGAAGCCTTCCCTGACACCCTGCTCCACGCACCCCAGCTCCGTTGCCCTATTTCTCAGTGAACTAAATTCTTGCCCACGTCTGTGGGGTCATCGGAGTTCCTTGCGCCCAGCACTGCCATGGTTTTACCCTGGATGCTTGTCTAGTGGACAAATGTTGGAAGGACGGACCCCACCCCATTTCCAATGACCTGCCAGGCCTCCCTCTCCCCCCTCACTGGGCCCGGGAGGCTGACCAAACCCAAGAAATCAGACAGGAGTCTGCATCGGCTGCTTTATTTAAGGACTGGTGACTAACAGTCCCCAACTCAGCCCCTCCCTCCTCTATAAAAGCAACTATACATAAACCGGGGCCCCCTGCCAGGGCCCAGCCAGGGGCCAGTGGTGCTGAACCCCAGGCCACAGTCCTTGGAAGGCAGAGGAGGCGTGCGGTCCAGTTCACACGGGCAAGGTGCTGGGGAGCTGGGTGAGGAGGCGGAGAGTCCCGAGGCTGTCTCTGCTGGGCTTGCTCTCACCCAGGATGTCAGGACATTGGCCCCGGAGAAGCCAGGGCTCCAGAGCCAGGGGGTCAGGGGCCGAAAGAGGGAGCAAGTCAAAGGGCTTCTGGAGCCAAGGGAGGCAGTTCAGACCCCCGGAGGCCCCTGCCCATGAGCACACCCCCATGGCCACACTTGCAGTCACACATTCACATCCACATCCACTCCATACACAGGCAGGGGCTGCGAAGGCCCTGGACCCACACCCCGGACCTCAGGAATGTCTCTGGATCGGTACCCAGCGGGCTGGTCCTCAGCAGCGAGTCTGCAAAGGGGGTGGGTCCTCTGTTTTGCTACTGATTGGCGGCCTCACAGGCATCTATCCAATCACTATACACGTCCACCGGTTCTGATAGATCTGAGCCGTTGGAGTCAAGGGCAAATGCCGGCATCCGACACCCCCCCTTTCCCGTATACACCTCTGCTGCTCACGCGGATGTCAGCCAGACCCCTACCCTGCGCACTATCACCCGCTTAAGCAAGCAGGTAGCACCCATTCCTCTGGGTGGCCAAGGCCCTGCACAGGATACACAACAAGGCCCGAGATGCAAGGGCTTATTCTACCCCTTGCCCTTGGTGAGGAGCCCTTGAGCAGCCCATTCTGGGCAGGGCAGCCCTGACCACCCCATCCCCACCCCCTGGATAAAGCCCAGTTTCCCAAGGATACACGTGATGGGTGTCTGGAATTCCTCTAGGCACACAGTACAAGAGATGACTCCGGTGTTACGGGCACGGTCCCTGGAATGGGAGGAGATGGAGGGACTGATAAGCAAAGAGGCCTGTATCTAAGGGGGAGCCAATTCCCACCTGAGGGTAGGGGAGGCCCCGTGAGGCAGGATTCCTGGCCCCCACCCCACGCTCACATTTTCACGTCACAAGATTTCTCGTGGTTGCAGAAGGGGCAGGTGAACTGGGTCTCTAGAGTGCCTGTCATCTTCTTCTTGGGGGGTGGCTTTCGTTTTGACTTTCTGCGCCCCATGTCTGCAGGAGGGTGGACCTGTGGGGGGAGGAGGACAGATGTCAACGACTCACAGGACCCAGGAGGCCCTGCAGTGGCTGGGCCACAGTGAAAGGAGGACTTTCACAGTGGCTCTCTCTGAGGACATCAGACAATTCCAGTGCACTCTGGGTAGAGGGGGTGAGAGCAGGTTCTAGATTCTAACCCTGCCCCAATCCCACTTACTACATGACCTCAAGTAGGTTACTTAATCTCCCTGTGCCTCAGTTTCCTTATTTATAAGATAGAGATGAGGTTGCTAGCTCAGAGGGGCTCACAACTGCACTGTATATGGCCCATCCATCGTTGGCACCTACACAGGAGGCCACTGTTCCCGGTGAGGGTAACACGAGTGACTGACAGGCCAGTTGTCCAGTGCTGGGCAGAGCTGAAGTGCTGTGGAGCCCATGATTTTAGGAGCAGCTGCTCCTCTTATCAAAGGACATGCAAGGACCCCCCAGGAGGAATGACACTCAAGGGATTTGACAGAGCCTCCGACGGGCTCCCTGGGCAGAAGAGGGGCTACTGGACAGAGAAGACTACCCACAGAAGAGGGGCTACTGGACAGAGAAGTGTTTCAAGCGGAGAAATGCCATGTAGAAGGCCGAGGGGCAGGTGTCTGAGTGCTGGGCTAGCGGCTGGGGACCAGGCAAGTGGGGGAGGGGCAGGCTGAGGAGGGAACAGACGGGAAAGTTTCAAGTGTTTAGCTGGATCCTGACCGCGAGGGAGAGAAACAACAGCCTCACCCTGTGCTTTTAAGGGACTGAGGAATACGGGTCAAAAGCCTGGACAAAGATGGAAGTCAGAACCGGGACAGGGCTGTTTGGGGAGGAGAGAGCAGCTGGCAAGACTGAAGAGACAAATCAGTGCAATGAGTGGGTATGCGAGAGACGGAAGAGTCCAGAAGGACCTCCAAGGTTGTGATGGGCGGGGCTGTGTCGAACACAAAAGAACAGAGTTGTTAAAAATGAGTCAGGTGCCACTGGGGCATACGTCTTGGAGGCAGAGACCACTGAACGAATCTCCATGCCAGGCGCTGGGCTCAGGGCTCCGCATTCACCAATCCTGAGCCTTCCAAGGAGCTCCCCCTCCCTCCCAATCACACTCTCTCTCTCCACTGCTGGTTCTAGGATCATTCCTCCGTGACAGGGGAGGTCGGCAATCTGCCAGAAGAAAGACCAGAGTTTCATTCAGATTTAGCAATCACTTCCTATGTAACATCCTCACCATTTTTAAAAATATATATTTTATTGATTTTTTACAGAGAGGGACAGAGAGTTAGAAACATCAATGAGAGAGAAACACATCAATAATTCAACAAACGACAAGTGCTGGAGAGGATGTGGAGAAAAAGGAACACTTGTGCACTGCTGAACAAAACAAAACGAGAAACATCGATTAGCTGCCTCCTGCACACCCCCTACTGGGGATGTGTCCGCAAACAAGGTACATGCCCTTGACTGGAATCGAACCTGGGAGCCTTCAGTCAGCAGGCCGATGCTCTATCCCCTGAGCCAAAATGGTTAGGGCACATCCTCATTCATTTAAAAAAATGTTTAAAGTCTGGCCAGCGTGGCTCAGTGGTTGAGTGTCAACCTATGCATCAGGAGGTCACTGTTCGATTCCTGGTCAGGGCACATGCCCAGGGTGCAGGAGGCAGACAATCAATGATTCTTTCTCATCACTAATGTCTCTATCTCTCCCTCTCCCTTCCTCTCTGAAATCAATAAAAATATATTAAAAAAATTTTTTTAAAAAAAAATCACCCCAAAAAACCAACAATTTACAAGCAAGGAAATCCAAATACTAATCAACATGTTAAAAGATGCCCGAATTTAATAGTAAGCTGGAAAACCCCAATTAAAACAATAATGAGATAATTTATGCTATTTAAACTGGCAAAAAGTAATGATAATATCTGACAAAAAATTTTTAGGGGGTTTCTAGGGATACAAACTACACAATGAAAGTGAAAACAGGTATAACCACTCTGACGAACTGGTAGTCCTCATTCGGGTGACAACCTATGCATCAGGAGGTCACTGTTCGATTCCTGGTCAGGGCACATGCCCAGGGTGCAGGAGGCAGACAATCAATGATTCTTTCTCATCACTAATGTCTCTATCTCTCCCTCTCCCTTCCTCTCTGAAATCAATAAAAATATATTAAAAAAATTTTTTTAACTTTTCATTACAGTTTACATTCAACATTTTGTATTAGTTTCAGGTGTACAACATAGTGGTTAGACAATCATATACTCTACAAAGTCTTCCCGATATTCCAGTACCCACCTGGCACCACAGTATTACTGACTGTATTTCCTAGGCTGTACTTTACATCCCCATGAGTATTTGGTAACTCCCAATTTATATTTCTCAATTCCTTCACCTTTTTCGCCGAGCCCCAATCCCCCTCCCCTTTGGCAACCATCAGTCTGTCCTCTGTATTTATGAGTCTGTTTCTGTTTTGTTTGCTTGTTTATCTTGTTCTTTATATTCCACATATAAGTAAAATCATATGGTATTTGTCTTTCTCTGACTTATTTCACTTGGTATAATACCCTCTAGGTCAATGGTTCTCAACCTTCCTAATGCCGCGACCCTTTAATACAGTTCCTCATGTTGTGGTGACCCCCAACCATAAAATTATTTTTGTTGCTACTTCATAACTGTAATTTTGCTACTGTTATGAATCGTAATGTAAATATCTGATATGCAGGATGTATTTTCATTGTTACAAATTGAACATAATTAAAGCATAGTGATTAATCACAAAAACAATATGCAATATATGTGTTTTCCGATGGTCTTAGGCGACCCCTGTGAAAGGGTCGTTCAACCCCCAAAGGGTCGCGACCCACAGGTTGAGAACCGCTGCTCTAGGTCCATCCACGCTGTGGCAACATCCTCAATGTTAACTGAGGATGTGTCCAAGTCACTGAGTAAACAAAAACAGCCGGCAGAGAACACCCGCAAGTCCCCAGGACCACCCATGTGGCTTCCCTCCTTTGCCTTGGACCAACATTCGAGGTCCACATAAAAACAGTTTGTGTCTCTACTAGATCATTAACAAACACACTCCCATCATTAAAAAACAAACAAACCACCACAAAACAAAACACCTCCTTCTCTGCGGCGTTTCTAGTAGAGCTGTCTGTTTCCCTCCCATTCTCTCTCTACCACCTGCCTCACGCTGGGGCAGTCCCCACCCCTCAGGGCACTGGACAAACTGGTTTTCTCTTCCTGCCCTTCCCATGGGACCCTCAGAACCTCACTCTTACACCCCTGATTCCCTGACAGTTCCTTTCACTCTCAGCGGCTGCTGACCTCCCACGCCCCCCAATTCTCTAATGAGGAGCCCACCAGCTCCATCTTTGGGCCCTCCCTCTGCCCACACTCACCTCCATGCGATCTCACCCAGCCTCACGGCTTCAGATGCCCCTTCTACACGGATGCCACCTGCCTCTCTGGCCTTGCTGTGTCCTTTGACCCACAGACCCACCCCTCTACCTGTCTTGGTCACACCTCCATCTGATGCTAACAAACATTTAAAAGCAACCTGTCGAAAACTGAGCTCCTGACACCTCAACCTGCTCTCTCCCAGTCCTCCCCATCTCCGCAGACAGCAAATCCATCTTTCCAAAAACCCCGGACTCATCCTCGATCCCTCTCTCTCTCTCTTACACCCAGCTCTTATCTGATCCTGTTGCTGTTGCTCCTCTAAAACACATTCAGAACCTGACCACCTCTCACCACCTCCAGGGCCACTGTCCTGGTCTGAGTCCAGAGTCCCGGTCACCTCTGGCCTGGATGATCACAACAGCCTCCTCACTGGTCTCCCTGCATCTCCACATGCAAATCCCAGAAGGGAAGGGACTTTTGGCTTTTCTTCGTATCCTCAGAGCTGAGAACTGTTCATGGCACAGAGCTGGCGCTCAACAGATACTTACTGAGCCAATGAATGAACAAACGAATGCCAGGCCCAACACTACACCACACAATGCTGCAATCAAGGGAGGCAAGGTTTCTGCTCTTGTGAAACTTCCATGGTCGTGGAGGAAGACAGACCCTGAACAAGTTAACTAATGAGGGAAATCACTCCCAATATTGTTAAGCCCTGCAAGGTTAACCCCAGGGCAGGTGAAACACTCCCAGGGGCTGCTTCAGATAAGGGCAGAGTGGGAAGGACCCGCCGGGTAGGTCACTTCTGATGAGACCTGAATGACCAGAAGGCACCACGCAAGGCAGTCCAGGCAGAGGGAGAAGCAACTGCAAAGGCTGCGAGGCAGACGCTTTGGTGGTGGTGGTGGTGGGGGTTGGTACAGCTGAAGCTCGGCGGACAACGGGGAGATGCGGGGAGATGGGTATGAGATGCGACAGAAGCGGAAGAGCAGCAGCCAGACCCCACCAGGCCCTGCAAACTTCAGGAAGGTGTGGTCGGTTCTGCAGCCCATGCTCTCACCTACCAGGGCAGTTTCCCCCAAAGTCCAGCCCTGGGTAACACCTCCAGCAGAACCACCGGGCGCCCTCAGAAAAGGTTGGTTTCTGGGCCTCGCCCAGATCCACCCGCACTGGGATGTCAGTTCTGGGGGGCCGGGCCGTAATCTGCCCGCTGCTGAGGCCCAGCAGGCGCAGTGACCGGTGCGCATTAAGCGCTCAGTAACTACGTGTTGGATGAATAAATGATCTCCCGAATCAGAAGCTACAGATGTCCCCCCCCGCCCCCATCTCATTTTACCCGGTGGCTACAGTAACCCACCCACCCCACCACAGAACTGGGGGCTGAACTGCCAAAGCCCCAGGGGTCTCGGTCGGTCCTTTGGTGACGACGACCAAACGCGCCGACAGAGGGATGGGGTGGGGTGGGTCGGGTCGGCCTCCGAT